CAAACAGACGTTTGGAAGAATATGACACACAGAGGCAGAGCTATCAGGAAGCATGCTGTGAATTTGGAACTACCCAGTCTATTCCAGTTGTCGTTGTTGCTGTGTGCCTTCAAGCTATTTCTGACTTACAATGACTCTAAGGTGACCTTGTCATGGGGTTTTCTTGGCAAGATTTGTTCAGAAGAGCTTTGCCATTGCCTTCTCCTGGCTATCCCCTTATTCTGTGATGATGATGCACAGAAACAAACACAACAGTCTGTCCTCACAAAGCAAGGAGGTGACCATGGAGGGTTTTCTGGTTGGATTGTCTCCTGCCTATTTCAGAGGGGAAAAGTAATGTGTGGCAGTGGTAGGTGATTCCCTGCTGAGGGGAACAAAGGCAATGGTGTGCAGGCCTGATAGGATGTCTTGAGAGCTGGTGCAAAGATTCATAATGTAACAGGGAACCTGACAATATTCATCAAGCTCACCAATCATTACCAGTGATGTAGACTCATGTCAATTGACTTGGACTCAAGTTGGACTCGGGTCATTTCAGTGACTTGACTTGGACTTGACTTGGCAATTAATGATGCAGTGACTCGACTTGACTTGCAACTTGCAAAAATGTAATGACCAGCTCACTGGTGTCATACACTTCAAGCAGTAGGAAAAACCCAACCCCAAAGTGGGGGGCATGCTTCTCAGAGGAGAAGAAATGCATTAGGGAATGGACTTGAGGCAGAAGGATCCTTCTAAAGCTTTCGAAAAGCTTAACGCATTTGCTGTTCCCCTCCAAGAAATGTCCCATGCCTCCTTTGCTTCTGTTAAAATTTGGTGAGACTCGACTTGACTTGAAAGTATTTTACAAGGACTTGAGATTCAATAATTGAAGGTAGAGGCTTGAGTTTTGACTTGAGACATGGAGTAAAAGACCTGAATATATGACTGACCATTACCCATTCCTTTTAATCCTTGCGGGAACAAACATACTGCAAGATATAGCCTTCAAAATATAGCGGATGGCTATGATGCTCTGAGTAGGAAGCTGAAGGATCTTGGGGCACTTTTTAAAAAATTTCATCACATCTTCCAGTTGAAGGGAATGACACAGGAAGAGGATAATGCTAGAAGTAAACAACTGGGTCCCCAGATGGTGCCACTGGGAAACATTCTCTTACTTACACCTTTCTTTACTGTCCAGCTTCCTACCATTATTCAGCCTTGTTGCTGTGTGACTTCACAGCATTTCCAATTTATGGTGACTTTAAAGTGAACCAGTGGTTTTCTTGGCAAGTTTCTTTGGGGTGGTGGTGTTTGCCATTGCCATCCTCTGAGGCTGAGAGAGTGTGACTTGTCCAAGGTCATCCAGTGGGTTTCCACGGCTGAGCTGGAATTTGAATCCAGGTCTCCAGAGTCATAGTCCAATGCTCAAACCACCATGCCATACTGGTCTTACCAAGGAATGGATGATCTTGATTTTGATATTCAGTGATGTATCTTTGCACTCGTGGGTACATAATATAGTTGCATTTGCTCAGTTCATCTGTCATTCTGAGTTTACATGAGATGATGTTTTGTTTTGTTTTTCATATGAAGCAATAGTCCAGATGCAATTAAACTGTCATCTCCAAAATTTTATAATTTCAAGCCTGACTGTTTGGAATAATGCAATAAGGTTTTTATGTTTTGGTGGCTTGTTTTTATCTAAGAATAAAAGATAATCAACAGAGGGTCATTGGTTTCAATCTGCT